GGCATGTGCACTAGACTGGGAATCAAACCAGTGACACTTTGGTTCAAAAGCCAGTACTCAATCCACTGAGCCACACCAGCCAGGGCGTAATTTTTTCTTTTTTCTTTCTTTCTTTTTTTTTCTTTTGGTGTGTGTGTGTGTGTGTGTGTGAGCTTAGGGTTTATTGAGCTTTTTGGATTTCTAGATTTATAGCTTTTATCAAGTTTGAAAATTAATTTCTTTAATCCTCTGCCCTTTTTTGGGAAACTCCAATTATGCCTGTATTTCACCATTTGAAATTTGGCCACTTGAAATTGTGATGTTCTTCCATTTAAAACATTCTCTTTTCCATGTTTAATTTGAAGTAGCTTTATTGCCATGTCTTTAATTTAACTTTTCTTCTTAATATTTAATTATCATTAGTTCCATGTAGTTTGTATTTCTTATATATTGTAGTAAACCATTTCTAGAAATTAGATTTGCATATTTTAAAAGGTCTTCCATGTATTTACTTAACTTGTTGTACACATGGAATATAGTTAAAAAGCCCCTATTTTAATATTCTTGTTTTCTAATTTTTCTTTTTTTAAGCATATTTTATTGATTATGCTATTACAGTTGTCCCATTTCTATTTTTTCCCTTTATCCCACTCTGCCTGGTACCCTCATACTCTCCAGCATTCCTTGTCCTTTAGCTCATGTCCATGGGTCATACATGTAAGTCATTTGGCTTCCATATTTCCTATACTATTCTTAACCACCCCTAGTTTATTTTGTACCTACCATAATATGCTTATTCCCTGTAATTTTCTCCCATTCTCCCCTTCCCCCTCCGATAACCGTCCATGTGATCTCCATTTCTGTGATTCTGTTCCTATTTAGTAGTTTGCTTACTATTTTTTTTAAGATTCAGTTGTTGATAGTTGTGAGCTTATTGTCATTTTACTGTTCATAGTTTTGATCTTCTTTTTCTTAGATAAGTTCCTTTAATATTTCATACAATAAGGGTTTGGCAATGATGAACTCCTTTAACTTGACCTTGTTTGGGAAGCACTTTTACCTACCCTTCCATTCTAAAGGATAGCTTTGCTGGATAGAGTAATCTTGGATGTAGGTCCAAGATTACTCTATCATGACTTTCATGACTTTGAATAATTCTTTCCAGCCCCTTCTTGCCTGTAAGGTTTCTTTTGAGAAATCAGCTGACAGTCTTATGGGAATTATCAGCTGATTTGTAGATAATCGTCTTCTTTTCTCTTGCTGCTTTTAAGATTCTCTCCCTATCTTTAACTTTGGGTAATTTAATCATGATGTGTCTTGGTGTGTTCCTCTTTGGGTCCAACTTGTTTGGGACTCTCTGAGCTTCTTAGACTTGCATGTCTATTACCTTTGTCAAATTAGAGAAGTTTTTTTCATTATTTTTTGAAATAAGTTTTCAATTTCTTGGCCTTCCTCTTCTCCTTCTGGCACCCACATGATTCAGATGTTGCAATGTTTAAATGTGTCTCAGAAGTTCCTAGGCCTCTCCTAATTTTTCTGAATTTTCATTTATTCATTCTGTTCTATTTGAATGTTTATTTCTTCCATTTGTTTCAAATAGAGTCCTATTTCTCTTCTTTTTACTGTTGGTTCCCGATATGTTTTTCTTTGTTTCACTTCATATAGAATTCACTTCGTCCTTTACTTTTCACCTATACTCAATCATTTCTGTGAGTATCCTGACTACCAGTGTTTTGAACACTGTATCTGATAGACTGGCTATCTCCTCATTGCTTAGTTCCTTTTCTGGAGTTTTGATCTATTCTTTCATTTGGGCCATATTTCTTTGTCTTGGCACACCTGTTATGTTGCAAGGGGCAGAGCCTTAGGTATTCACCAGGGCAGGGCAATCCATGATGCTGCATTGTGGCCCTGTATGTGGGGAAGGGCTCAGAGTGGGTACAATGCTACTTGCTCGGCTTTTGTCCCACTTTCAGTCACTTCCCCTGCTTCCCACCAGCAAACTGCCCCTTCTAGGTGCTGCCCTGATGCTGATTCCCAGGTGGGTGGGCTTGTGTATGTTCTAGGATCCCATGGACCCTTCCTACAGATCTTCCTGTGAAACTGGCAGTTTCTCCTGCCACTGCAACCCCTGCAGATTTTTACAGCTGAAGGTTTTGAGGCTTTATTTTCCTAAGCTAGAACACTGGGTTGTGATGGTCTGTCTCATCCTCCAGTTGTCCCTCCTGGTTTATCTGCAAGTGAATGGGGGACCACCTGGTCTTTGCTGCTGCCTTGCCATGTGTCCTCTCTGACCCAGCTGCCTGTTTCTACCTTTCCTACTAGTCTGGATGAACATTTCTTCTTTAACTCAGTTATTGGACTCCCATACAGTTCAATTTTCTGGCAGTTCTGGTTGTTTTTTGTTTTTAAATTGTTGATATCCTAACTTTGGTTGTGCGAGGAAACAAAGTGTATCTACCTACTTCTCCATCTTAGCCCTCCCCTCTTTTCTAATTTTAACATCTATGTTAGTACAGGGTCGGTCTCTGTTGAATGACTTATCTCCTCACTGTGAGTCCTATTTTCTTGTTTCTTTACTTGGCTGGTTACTTCTTTATTGGACGCCAGAAATGGTGCATTTTATCTTATTGGGTGCTGAATGGCTTTGCATTGCTATAAATATTCTTGAGCTTCGTTCTGGGGCACACTTAAGTTACCTGAGACAGTTTGATCTTTTTGGGTCTAGCTTTTAGGATTTGTTAGGTGGAACTGGAACACTTTTTATTCTAAGGCTAATTATTCTCACCAGTAAGGCAAGGCAAGGCTCTATTGTGTACTCTACCAAATATGCTGTGGTTCTTGAGTTTTCCAGTGTGGTTACTTCCAGCCTGTGTGTATTTCCATGTATTTCCAGCCTGTGTGAATGCCAAGCACTATAACCTCTAGTCCTTTCAGATGGTGCTTCCTTCAGTCTCATGTAGTTTTCTCTCTCTCTCTCTCTCTCTCTCTTTCACACACACACACACACACATTGATCAGTGCTCAGCTGTGTACTAAAAGAGCTCTGGACCCCTGGAGTTTTCCCTCTATGCAGCTCTCATATCTTTGGTACTCTGTCCTAGGGATTTTAGCTGTCTTGGTCTGCTAGCACTCTCAGCTCCACCTCCACAACAATGGGAATCAGAGGGGTTGGGAACCTCTTTTTGTGCCATGTCCTGGAAACTCTGAAGGCTATATGCGGGTGCAATTTTAGGACTCATCTAGTTTTCAGTCTCTTGGGGATTATTATCCATCATTACTTGATGTCTACTGTTTTATAAATTATTTTTAATACTTTGTTCACATTTTGTTGCTAAATTTAGGCAGGGGTAAGAGGATCAATCTGGTCCCTGTTACTCCATTTTTGACTGGAACTCTTCCTTTAATTTTAATTATACAGTTCTGAAACTACAACTCTGATTCTATTACTAAACTTATGTATAGAAGCTGTTTTGCTTTCTCTAATAACTTTAGAGTTGAAAGTTTATAGCCCCACCTGTAATCAACTTAAATATTTTAAGAATACTATTTAAGCCTCAGGTTCAGATCAAATGGTTATCATGTCTCAGTAGTCCCTGAAGGACATCTCTAATATGTATCTTGAGGAAGAAAGGTGAGAGTCACCTGCCCTGTAAAACTCTAACTCCTGATGACACAGGAATTTTCTGCAGTAAAAACCTAAGAAGAGCTGTTTTAATATAAAGCAAGCATTTATCCACATGTAGGAAGTAGAGATGACAGTAATGGTTTTAGCATTTTCTTGTTCCTCAATGTTACTATATAGATTTAATCTAAAGAGTCATGCTCATCAAAATTAAAGATTCACATAAAAGTTGAATCTTCATGTAGGAACATTTCAATAAGAATAGAAAATCTTTCTTTAGCACCTACTATATAACAGGTACTTGACTAAGTGCTTTAAATACTTTTCCTCAAGCATACATTATAACAAAATAGTAAAGTATAATCCATTACAAAACCCATTATACAAATGAGAAAACTGAGGTTCAGAGATTCAAACCCAGGTTGAAAGTAAGATTAGAATCTTTTATTTAAAAAGTACTTAGTGCATACTTACTGTACCAGGCATGTTTCTAGGTGCTGGGAACATAGCAGTGAGGAAAAAAATCCCTAATTCAAAGAATTTACACTCTAACATATATTCTCCTTAAAAGCAACATACTTATTTTGTAAATTTTTATGGTTTTTGTTTTTATTTATTATTTTTTTAGATTTTATTGATTTAGTTTTAGACAGAGGGTAAGAGAGGGAGAAAGAGAGGTAGAGAAACATTATATGTGTGGTTGCCTCTAAAGTGCCCCCTACTGGGGACCTAACCCAGGCATGTGCTCAGACTAGGAATGGAACTGGTGAGCGCAGGCCAGTGCTCAATCCACTGAGCCATGCCAGCCAGGGCTTAATTTAATTTTTTTCTGTGTCTGGTGTTATATCAAAAGTAAAATGTAAAACATCATAAATTTATGTCACTAAAAAATTCTAATTTTAAAAGTAGAGGAAACATACTATGTAAAGGTAAGTAGTTTCATTTACTAAGTACAAATAGCTGGGATTAAATAAGTTTGGTTGACTCCAAAGCCTTTGCTATTTCCACTATTCCATAATGGCTCTATATTACAATACATTTCAGAATGACAGATGTATTAAAAAAAAAATCAAAAGCCCAAACATTACAGTGATGTGCAAATCTATGCAATATATTAAAGTTTCTTGATTGTACAACAGATGATAAACAGGGAATAAAAACAGAAAATAAAGACAAACATGGTACTGGAAAAAGTTAATATTGGTTAACTAAATGGTAAAATATTTTCATGAAACATATTTAGTTTTGAATAGAAATAGTATCTTACCAACTTGTACAACTAAACATATTTGCTATTTCAGAAATGTAGGAACAATGCTTTTCCTTTGTAAATATGCATGTAAAATAGTCAAGTCTCAATGTCTCAAAAAAAAAAAAGACACATAACTATGCATACCTCTACAGCAGGTACAATGTCTATGCCAACAGTTAGAAATTCTTCAAACTTCATAAATGGGTTAAAGCAGCTGCCAACATCAAGTAATCTGATCTTTCCTGAGGTTTGTAGCAACCTAAAAACAGATTATTTTGTCTTAACACAAGCAAAATAAAAATAAAGTATAAAAAAATTCAAACATTTGAGAGATTAGGTCATGTAGATTATTGGCTCTCTTTTAGTTTTTGGATTCCTTAAACACATTTAAAAATTACTGAGGACCTTGAATTTTCATTTATGGGGGTTGTATCTATCTGTATTATTAGACTTGAAATCAAAATTGAATAGTTAAGAGGAGAGAAGATGGCAGCGAAGTAGGTGGGAGCTCAGCTCACTTGCCTGTGCACCCACCTGGGACACTTAGCTGATCTCCCAAATGACAAAGTGAACAGCCAACAGAATCTTAGCTGATAGAAGTTTGGAAGCCAAAGTATGCAGAGGATGCTTCGAAATGGGCAGTAAGGTGGTTTTATAGGTGGACAGGGCAAGTCCCTGAGCCTGGCGCCAGAAACTTGGCTGCCACCGGGGCAACATCAGAGGAGAGACAGGTCAGTGATAGAAGCCTAGCAGCTCCCTCCCCTCCCAGGGTGGGCAAATCATAGACATCTGCCAGGAGAGACTTGAACAAATAAAGTAGCCAGAGCGGAAAAAAAGGCACATAGGCACACACACAGCTGGCAGTGCACCAAAGCTAGGGTGTGGGGGCAGTTGCTGGCCTAGTCAAGTGCCAGATAGTTGTAGGGGGGTGAGTTCTGTTGGCACCAGGAGCTGGGAGAAGAGGGGAACTGTGACTGGCCATGACTGAGATAGACTCTGGACTTGTCAGAGGGTTGGAGTGTGTGGAATGCCAGGCAGTGGTTAGGAGGAGCAGCAGCAGGAGCAGCAGCAGCACCCAAATAGACTTTTTCAAAATTGGAACTGAGACGGACTGGGGAAGGATCTTGCATGAGTAGCTAGAGGGGAAGATTGTGGGCATGATTTGCTCCCACTCAGGAAGTGATCAAAGGGGTGCAAAGCGAGGAGGTTTTATTGGTACCAGCCCAGCCCAACTGTGAAGATTGGAGAATGCTACCACACTGTGTTCTAAAAGCATGGGCTGGAAACTGGGCACCTGTGATTATTGTAGCCCAGACTGAGGCCCTTTCCTTGCCAAACCACAGGAAAGGGAAAACAAGAGCCCAATACCCCACTGCCTAGAAGAGCCTGGAAGATATGCAAAATTAGCTGGACAGGCTTAACAACTAGCAGGAGCCTCCAACCCTGCCCCCCACAGTTCCCCCCCACACTGCCCCAGGACTAAATCAAGAAGACCTGGAGCCCTGGGAAAACCAGGACAGATCCAGAAAGAAGTCAGGAGGCAAACAACAACAGTCAAGACAAATTTCACCTTGCTCTTCATCAGACCTTGAATTTTTTTAAAATTTCTCTTCTTTTTGTTCACTAAGGGTTTTGTTTCTTTTTTTTCTCACTTTCATATTACACTTCAATTTTTCTCCTTTTACTTCACTAGTATTCCAATAACTCACTACTCTTGGCCTTTATTTTTTATTACTGATATTCAGATTATATATGTATTTTTATAATATTACTGTTATTCCAAATATCACACAGCACCATTCCCTGGTCTTAATCCATTTCACCATCTTCCTGAGCTTTATTACTGTTATAAACTTTATTTTCTCTCATACTATGCCATGTTTCTATCCCTTACTCTATTTCTCCTCCATCTAATCCCTCACATCGTGCTTTTCATTTTAAATCAGCCCACATTCCTTTTCTCCACTTATAAGAGTCTTATTTCTTTTTCATCTTTTTACACAGTGGCAAGTTGGGCAAAAACACCACAGTTATTGCTGTACTTCTCCAACAGAACTTTTATTTGTTCATTATTTGTTTGTACTTTATTTATTTATTTATTTTTTTAAAGATTTTATTTGTTTATTTTTAGAGAGGGAAGGGAGGGAGATAGAGAGAGAGACATCAATGTGTGGTTGCTGGGGGTTTTGGCCTGCAACCCAGGAATGTACCCTGGCTGGGAATCGAACCTGGGACACTTTGGTTCCCAGCCCGCGCTCAATCCACTGAGCTACGCCAGCCAGGTTGTTTGTACTTTAAATCCCACAGAATCCTCTCCAACTGTCTTAGTCCATTTTGCCTTCCCCCTGTTCCTGATCAATTGAGTGAGGAATTTTATTTCATTTTCTCCCCCTTTCTCAATCTGGGCTTTACTCCTTACTCTTAGTAGTTTGCTTCCTCGATCCTCTCAAAACCATTTATTTTTCACTGTAGACATTTCATATACACTTTTCACTTTTGTACAATATTTATTCCTGTTCCACCTTTATTAAACCTCATTCAGCTGCTGTTGCTATTGACACTGCTGTGGTTTTTCTGCAATTTTGCTCCCATTGGTCCAATACCTTTTCAATTTCACTTCAAACCTCAGAGTATACTTTTCCCTTTTCTTACCCCTTTGTTCCTATTGCCCCTTTGTGTGTTACTTACATTTTAAATTTTGTTCCCTCTCTACTCTTATCAGTTTTCCCTCTTACCACTCAATAACCTTTTGCCCTCTTTTTGTCATCTCATATATGTCAGGATGGGCGGGGTAGGACAAAACGGCAGCTGAACTACAACCCGAAAAAGATGGCTAACGTCAAACCAGGGAGCCAAAACAGCGGGCTTTGCCAAAGCAGATATCCACATAGCAACCTGAGCCCTAGGAGAACCACCAATGATATACTGCTGCTTTGTTTAAAGGGGACCAATCCCCAGCTCCCAAGAAGAGAGCCAACCAAAATAAAACCATGCCATATTCCCTATTTGGGTGCGACTTCCTCGGCCCCACCGTGCAGACCGGGGAACTTCGCCCGGGTGCGCAAACCCCAATTAAGCTCTATACTGCCTAAGTTTGTGGCTGATTGGCATTTATTCCTCGGAGGAGCCTAAGAAAACCTTTCAATATACCCTTTGTCCTATCTTATAACATTTGTAATCTCTTTACCTTTATTAATCTTTGCTTAATTGCAGTTGAGATTCTTGATGTGGTAGGGGTTTTCTTTTTGCTGGTGTAGGTTTGGTTGTCTGATAATACTGCTTTGTTAACAAACACCTGTGCAACAGCATACAAGACAAGGTGGGAGTTGTGACCAGTAAGCCCACTGGAGGGGAGAAGCCACCAACAAAGAAGCCACCAACAAGTAAAGACCATGTACAACAACACCCAACATAAATAGAAGAAGGTACAACTCTAGAGCCTCCAGACATGGAGATCTAAGGGACCGTGTTACTGAGCACCACAGAACTACTACCACAGAAACCCACCCCAAGAAGAGAGCTGGCAAAGCAGGGGATCTTGAGATGCAGAAACATACAAAAACAGTCACCTAAAGTGGGGAGACAAAGAAAGAACCCCCAATAGAGAGGAATGGAAGAATCCCCAGTAAAAGAGCTAAATGAAATGGAGGCAAACAAACTATCAGACACAGAGTTAAAAAAATGGTTATGAATATGCTCAAGCAACTGAGTGACAACTACAAGGAACTGAGTGGGAACCACAACAACATGAAAAAGGAAAGAGAAACCATAAACAAGAACCAGGAAGAAAATAATACAATATATGAAATAAAAAATACACTAGGGAGGAAGGAAGATAGCAGAGGAGTGAATGGAAGTCCCACTGACCTCCTCCCAGGACCAATCTGGAATTTCAACTCAATTGTGGAGAAACCACCTGGAACAAACAACTGAGAAATAGACAGAGAGAAGTATATAACTTTGGACATAAAGAACTAGCCTTGGCAAAACCGATTTGGTAAGGAGTTTTTTAGTGGAATCTATAGGATTTTCTGTGTATGCTGTCATGCCATCTGCAAACAATGACGGTTTTGCTTTCTCCTTTCCAATTTGGGTGCCTTATATTTCTTTTCTTGTCTGATTGTTGTGGATAGGACTTCCAATACTATATTGAATACAAGTGGTGAAAGCAGACAATCTTGTCTTGTTCCTGATCTTAGTGGGAAAGCTCCAAGTTTTTGCCCATTGAATACAATGTTGGCTGTAGGTCTCTTGTATATGGTCTTTATTATGTTCAGGAACATTCTCTCTATTTCTCACTTTGCTTAGTGTTTTTACCATAAATAGGTGTTGTACCATATCAAATGCTTTCCTCAAATCTATTACTATAATGTGACTTTTGTCTATCATTTTGTTTATTTGATTTGTAAGTATTGTACCATCCTTGCATCCATGGGATGAATCCCACTTGATCATGGTGTATAATCTTTTTAATATATTGCTGGATGCAGTTTGCCAATATTTTTTTGAGGACTTTAGTGTCTACGGTCATTAGTGATATTGGTCTGAAGTTTTCTTTGTTTGTTATGTCTTTATCTAATTTTGGGATAAGGATGATACTGGCCTCATAAAAAGAGTTTGAGAGTCTTCCATCTTCTTGAATTTTTTGGAATAGTCTGTGAAGGACAGGGGTTAGCTCTTCCTTAAATGCTTTCTAAAATTCTCCTGTGAAATGATCTAGTCCAGGGCTTTTGTGTGTTGGGAGTTTTTTTGATTACTGCTATAATTTTGTCAGCTGTTATTGGTCTGTTTAGGCTTTCTGCTGCTTCTTTCTTCATTTAGTTTTGAAAAATTATATTTTTCTAGAAATTTTTCCATTTCCCCTAAGTTTTCAAATTTCTTGGCATATAGTTCTTCATAGTAGTTTCTTACAATCTGTTGTATTTCTGTTGTATCAACAGTAATCTCTCCTGTTTCATTTCTGATTGTGTTTATTTGGGCCCTCTCTTTTTTTTTTTTCTTGATGAGCCTGCTTAAAGGCTTGTGGATTTTGTTTATCTTTTCAAAGAACCACATCCTGGATTTATTGATTCTACAATTGTGCTTTTAGTCTCTATGTCATTTAATTCTTCATTATCTTGGTTATTTCCTTTCTCTACTTGCTCCGGGCTGTCTTTGTTGTTGTTCCTCCAGTTTTTGTAGGCATGGGGTTAGGTTGTTTATTTGAAACATCTATCTTTCTTAGGTAGGCCTGTATCACTATGAAGTTCTTTGTCAGAA